AGAGTTTGGTTGACAACAACTACTCCTCATGGAATATTGAGAAACCAAGTTTAATGAAAAACCATTTTTCATATTCATCTTTTATTTTCTCATTCTTATTTWACATTAAAATGTTTTCAACATACAATTGTTGAAACTTTTTTTCAAATTMTATTTATTTTTAAAATATTTTCAACTGCATTAATCGTTAAAAGATTTTATTTTTGTAATTTAAATTATATATATATATATATATATATATATATAAAGAACAACAATAATGATAAGGTAGATTCATATATCAAAGATAATATTGATTCTTATTAGTTTAATATATAAATGTAATCATCGACTCATTTAGCTAACTTCAATAATTTTAAAAATGATTATTGTCACAATGCAGCGCATGGTGTCAAACACTGATATATTCTAAATATGTGTTGGAAGTCAGAATTTTAAACATTTTATGCTTTTTCTAAACAAATTGCAATAAAAATATTATTATTATTATTAAAAATAAAAATAAAAGGATGATTGAAAAGTTGAAACCGATGATTATGATTGACGGATTTTGAATATGTAAAGAAAATTGATTTATGAAAATTAATTATTTTAATATTTACAGTACCAACACTGAATTTTATTCACCCTTCAAAGAGATGCCGTGTGCTTGTGTGTGTGTGTGTGTGTGTGTTTACAGAGGTATTGAGTGTGAAAACTCTCCAAATTGATGCTCAATCCACATCTCTAATCGATTGATTGGATTGATCGAAGAAAATTGCGGTTTTTTAGTCTCTAGAATTTGTTATATATTCGATGAACAAATATATTCGAGGCTTTGCATTTGCGATTTCGTAATCAGATCGATTTTTTTGAGTTGGTTTATAGTTGTAATAGGTTTCGGCAAATGGAAGGTGAAGATGATGTGCATATGGCTACAGAGGGCTTAGACTGGAAATTCTCTCAGGTTTTTGGTGAGCCTGCTGCTGGCGAAGAGGTTCAAGAAGGTACAACAACATTTGATCGATGGCCTTTTGTTTAAGTTTTAATTTTTTTTATATGTTATCTGGTTATGAAATTGTAGTCACTTTGATGTTTGTTATTTCTATTTTGTTACGTTTAAAATTTTGATGAATTTATTGCTCATTGACTTTATTTATTAAGAAAATTTGTCTGCATAGACAGCTTTAATTGATGAATTCTACATTCCCTAGGTTTCAGGAAAGAGATACAGCTTGATACTTCAGGTGTTTAAATGTTTAAAAATGATATGGGTTTTGTTATTTGTGGTGTAAAATGTAGCTTTTCTTTTTATTTTAATGTTTAAATATTGAGGTTGAGAGAAGTATGTTTGATGTCAAAAAGTCAAAAATCTTGTATCTTTTTTCGATCAGAAGGAGTGATAATTAAAGTATAGAATTCTTTAGCTCGAAGTTTGGATTACTGATTTGTATAGGTCAAAACCTAGATGGGAAATTTTCTAAATGTGATTATTCATAGTAACACATATTACAATAGGAATTGCTTATTTATTAAGAAAATTTGTCTGCATAGACAGCTTTAATTGATGAATTCTACATTCCCTAGGTTTCAGGAAAGAGATACAGCTTGATACTTCAGGTGTTTAAATGTTTAAAAATGATATGGGTTTTGTTATTTGTGGTGTAAAATGTAGCTTTTCTTTTTATTTTAATGTTTAAATATTGAGGTTGAGAGAAGTATGTTTGATGTCAAAAAGTCAAAAATCTTGTATCTTTTTTCGATCAGAAGGAGTGATAATTAAAGTATAGAATTCTTTAGCTCGAAGTTTGGAGTACTGATTTGTATAGGTCAAAACCTAGATGGTAAATTTTCTAAATGTGATTATTCATAGTAACACATATTACAATAGGAATTGCTTACATTTGCTTGGAATAAATCTGTGATAATCATCTTATGACACAGTGACCGAATGTGATTGCTTTGTCTTGTTAAGTGGGTCTTATGATGACTCAGATATAGTTTACTTAGTTATATGCCAGTAATTTTTTGACCAGTGGCAAACAAGATTGTTGCTTGTCTGATATAATGGAGTTTGACAATTGAACTTCTATTATTGGTGCTCATAGTTTTAACAATTAATCATGTGTTTCGGAGTTTAGATATAATGCAGCTTGTTAGGCGGAGATGGTGACAGTAAGTTTTGTTAAAACTGAGAAGTGATCTGACAATTATAACAGCCATCCTTCAAGTGAACAATATATAGAATAGGGCACATAACAAAAAATGTGCACCTATCTAAGTATGTAATGCTATGTGCTTGTATGTTCACTTAAGCCAGGTTTCAACTTCATTTGGGGGTGACCCAATATTTAAACTGAATAAAATTCTTTCATTCTTTGTTTCATTGTATTTGCTTGAGCATGGTTTCCAAATTCATTTTGTTGTCTAAGTTAAGGCCATTTTGTAGAAACTAATATTAATGTATCTGGTCCACTGCATAATACAATTATTATTGGAGGATAAAGATTCATTTAGGCACCCTAGTAAGCAGAACAGAGGATTTGTTGGATGTTAGCTGTAGTAGTATAATCTCATAACATTGGAGAGTATTGATACTGTCTTGACAGGAAAAGGGTACTATAACAAGAAACAACTATGTACTTGTGTTGAGGACCCAGTTCAAGAAATGGATCTCTCTTTGCCAAACTTAGCGTATATGCACTTGTAGACCGTGTAACATAGATCTTAAATCCTTAATTGACAGTTGACAATGTAATTCTGTATGTTCTGTATGCAGTTGATATCATTTCAGCTATAGAATTCGATAAATCTGGAGATCATCTTGCAACTGGAGATTGCGGGGGTCGTGTGGTTTTGTTTGAAAGAATCAACAAAACAGATGTATGTTGTCCAATAGATCTGCTAAATAATTTGTTGTTTCTGATTTATTGTAAGCTAAAGCTTTAGATTTTTCACTGATTCCACTTCTAACATTAACTATAACATAGCATGCTGATCATCGAAGAGATCTGGATGGAATGGATTGTTCTAGCAGTAGACGCCCTGAATATCGCTACAAAACAGAATTCCAAAGTCATGAACCGGAGGTTCTCTTTTGTCTTCATGAAGGCTTTGGTTCCATTATGCTGTATTTCAGTTTCTATTTTTCTGTTCAATGTCTTATTTACTCTTAACTGATTCATGTTTATGAGTTCAGTTTGACTACCTAAAGAGCTTGGAAATTGAGGAGAAAATCAACCATATCAGATGGTGTCATACAGCTAATGGTGCCATGTTTCTGCTCTCGACTAATGATAAGACTATAAAGTGCTGGAAGGTAGGAATTTACTGAAGTTTGTGTATTTCCATCACCTCTGTGGCTCATTGTGTAAAGTGTAAACGATGAGTTTGGTTATTCCTCTCAAACAAGTGAGGTCATAACAAGCACAACCATAGATTGTTGGACTACCATAAGTATTATTTAGTAATTGTGATCATCAATTTCAGTGTGCTATTTATACATTTGTGTTGGACCAGGTACAAGAAAAGAAGATCAAGAAAATATGCCACATGAACATAGAGCCTCCGAAACCGACAAGTAATGGTTTTGTTAGTGGTTCAAATGTGCCTACGATGTCTAAACCACATACTGCAAATGGAGATGGTATCGACAAACACCTGCGTTGTATGAGCGACAATGTTCCATTTCCATCGTGGAGGGTTTCATCTCTACATTTACCCATGGTAGTACTCAGCATGATCATTTATCCTTCACGGCATATAAGCTTTTCGTGCAAAGATACAGTGAACTTGAAATCTACCAAATATTTTAGGTTTTGAATTTTGTTAGCTGCAGGATCCTGATTCCATTGTTGGCCTTCTGTAAATTATTTGGTCTATCCTGTGGATATTTAATACAGGTTTTTCCTGATATGACTAACATTTCTCCATCTTTCATGTTTAGGTAACCGGCCATGAAACAAGCCTTGTAGCTAGATGCCGTAGAACATACGCCCATGCCCATGACTATCATATTAATTCCATCTCAAATAACAGGCGCGTTCTCATCTTCTATGATCAGTTATCTCTATTGCACTTATGTATTAGCTTTCACTTTCGTATGACGTACATAAAAGCGCACTATTCTGGGAATTATATGAGTTGAAATAAGTGGAAGACTCATTCAATCTTTTCCTTTACTGTGATGAGCTTTTTTAGAGTGGCATAGAGGTTGAATAGTCATCTTTTTATTCAAGTTTCCCTAGGAATAGTGAACTTTACGTCTGAGATTTTGGCTAGTTTGCCTATTATTGACATAAATTGGCATAGTGAATTTTTTTACTGTCTTTAAATACTCGGTCTTTTGTTCAGAAGAGAAATGGCTTATACTCATTTTGGAAAGCATCTTATCATTGGTAACTATCTCATACACATTCTGACCATTGGGATTTTCTGGTGATTGAGGTAGGGTCTTGGGTCAAAAAGGCACCTAATTGCCCCCATCATGTAGTTCATTTTTAGATTAATATTCGTTCAGAAGCATGTTTGAATACTGCAGATATGAGGACTCTGTTGGTACCCACTTTGAGAACATGTTCGTGTTTAGACATGCTATCTTGCCGCACTAATACATTCAAATAATGCACATCATAGTTTTTTGTTAGGCATGCGTAACTTGTGGCTGGGCTGACAAACCAAAAATGGACCCAGAATTTTAGCTTATTTCCATCGCCTAATAGTCCACAAGTTGGAGAATAGATATCAATCATTCCAAACGTGACAAAACAAAACAGAGATTATACTTTGAAAACAAATAGGACACTGAGGAAGCTAAATAAAACAGATAATTGATCTTCAGAACACAAAGAATGAATATTCAGGAGGACGGCGGTGCATGTCATGGAAGCATTTGGAGGCAGCCTTGAGGGTCTGGCGATGCTTCTGGTGAATCACTTGATACAGGTAATGGTGGTGCCAAATGTTTGAGATGGCAGTGAAGGCAGTACAGCATATTTAAGGCACAAGGTGCAAGGGTCGTGTCTTCGCTTAGGCGCAACAAGAGGCACACCTCATGAAGTGAGGCACATGACCTCAAAATATTCAGCAAATGTATATAGGTGCACACAAAACCATTAAAGGAGGGAAATGGGGCATATATACGAAAAGTATTGAATATTATAACATATTAACATTAATTAGAATAACATCAACACACACATGCACTTGTGTGTATAAAGAATCATGTGCATTCATTTAAAGAATAAGCAATTAACAGTTTAATTCACACTACCATCATAGTTCATTGATTTCCAATTAACATCATTTAAAGAATCATTGATTTGTATCAGCATCAATAACATATTAACATTTGGCATTCAATTCACCTCGAACCCATAAACAAAATTCTTTACTGTAGTCTTTTTTTTCTCTCTCCATCATTTCTTAGTATATTAAATTAAAATCTGCTTAACAGGCTCTTTTCGTCTAAAGTAAAAAGCTAAGAACGCTTTTTAGGATGGCCACCAAAGAGAGCACCATTTGTCTATTTTGATGGACACTAAAGGAAAGTTCTCATGTGGTTGTCATGAGTTTTAACCTAAAAGCCTTGAAGTAAGCTAATTAAAGCTTAATTTATTCTATCTTCTAACTTACCTAAACAAACCCTGGATCTCCGAAATTTGCAGATACAAGGCTACCCTTCTGGGAAAACTAGAGGCATCATCTGGGGAAATAAATTCAGATAGAAAAAAGATATTGTACTAAGTGATAAGAAATGCTTGATACTTGCATATGTGCAACTCCTCATATCAAGATGGCAATTGAATAAATATAGGTCTAAATCTCTTGTAGTATGTATTAAATGTTGGATTTACTTATTTTTTATCCAGTGTGTAGTAATGTCCTGCTTGTCATCATATGATATCCACTAAGAAAAACTTTTATCTTCTTTCCATCTTGTAGTGACGGTGAAACTTTTATATCGGGTGATGATCTGCGCATAAACCTATGGAACATGGAAATTAGTAATCAGAGTTTCAATATCGTTGATGTGAAGCCTGCCAACATGGAGGATTTAACCGGTAGAACTGAACATTAATGGCTTCTGTTATATGCCAAAACTGGTGTGAGCCAATTTATCTACCAAAAAAGTGCTACCTGGAAAAAGTTGGTTGGTCAAGTACTGTTGGGCCTAGTGATATATTCTTTCTGGATAATGAGCTTTTCCGTTTTACTCTCACAATACTTTGGAAAGTAAATTTGGCCTTCCTTTAACAAAAGGATGCTTTATGTTGCTAAGTTTACTTGTAGTGACCATGCTTCTTTATAAGAAATCTGGTTCATCCTTTTCCTTCATCTAATTGAGGACACTGTTTGAGATATGTAGCCTTCATGCCTTTCTGGGTCCCTTTTCTTGTGTTGGATCTTAGAATATGCCAGTGCCATTATGCTGCAAAATTTAGCGCTTCAACTTCTCTTGTATATTTTCCGCTTTTCCTCGTTTTTAGAGAGAATAAAATTTATCCTTTTCCCGTCGTAAGCTCTATATTAATTTGATGACATCTGTTTGAATCTGTTGTTGCAGAGGTGATAACTTCAGCTGAGTTTCATCCTTCGCACTGCCATATGTTAGCGTATAGCAGCTCAAAAGGCTCAATTAGGCTTCTAGATTTACGGCAATCCGCTCTATGTGATGGCCATAGTAAATTGTAAGTGGATACCTTTTCCTGTCAACACTTGTATATAAATGGGTTAAGTATTGGTAAGAAATTGTTTAATTATGCAAGGGCTGGAGAAAGATAGATGCAAATGAAGGCGAGGGACATATGTGGGCCCATGTAATAACTACATATAAGTGTCCTTAGCCAAGGAGTTAATAACTACATATTTTTCTTATAATCGATAGATTGATCTTATTGGCTACCTACACATCTACTTGCAATGAAGTATTTTCTATGGGAGAAAAAGTTTAGGTTGTTCTGCAATTGGATTCAGTTTTTTATTTACTTTTTTACAGATTAAAAGAACATGAGGCTCCAGGTGCAAGATCTTTTTTCACAGATATTATTGCCTCAATTTCTGATATCAAGTTTTCAAAGGGAGGAAGGCATATCCTAAGTCGTGACTACATGACTCTTAAGGTATTTCTTTTCAGCACTATGTAGATAAAACTCCGATTGCCTTACTCCATCTTAAATCAATGTTGTTTGATTCTGATGCAACAATTAAGAATTGCAGAAGATAAAATGGAGAAATTGAATGATTTTTTGAATGAATTCGTTAATCTTTTGAGAGGATTAACACTCTTCCTTATGGTGCGTATACATCTGACAGAAACTCAATGACCCTCACTCCACCGACCTCCTCTCTTTAAAACAGATCAACCCTTCAACTAAATCCCTCAACCGACTTCAACTCCTTCACCCACTTCCTTTATGAAAAGGCTAAACTACCCATTAACCCCTTCTTCTAGAATACGTGAACAGTACTCATGGCTTAACAGATCCTTGCAAATAATGTTTAAAAGTGAGAAAATTTTGAAAGAGAGCTTCTTTTCCTTATTCTTTAACTTCTTTGTGAAAATGTTTTGTTGTCTCCTACCATATCTATCGATTTTCATAGTTGGTTTCCGCTAATACTTGTCAGCTGTGGGATATAAATATGGATTCCGTTCCAGTGGCAACCTTCCAGGTTCATGAATATTTGAGACCTAAGGTAATATATCTTTCACAAATCCTTGTCCCATAAAACTTTAGTCACACAACAGTTTGCTTTGTGGATCAAGTTCTCTCAACTCTTTGTATTTCTATCAGCTGTGTGATATGTATGAAAATGATTCAATCTTCGACAAGTTCGAGTGTTGTCTGAGTGGAGATGGACAGCGGGTGGCAACGGGTTCTTACAGGTCTGACTTTCAGTCTCTTGATTATTTAATCCCTTATTGAATACTTAAATCATTTTACATGCTGTTTGCTATGGGATTAATAGGAACTGCTGAGAGTATAAATCAACAATACTATACACATATGTATTTTGGTTAACATATACCTCCTTTCCAAAAAAAAAATATCCACAATAACAAGGCAAACGGTTAGAAATGCGTAATTGTTACAGCTTTTAATTAACCAAATGCCAATATTAGCCTTAAAAGTAGAGGGGGTAATTAATTTCTGCATCAAATAATCAAGGATGGGATAGGAAAATAGACATTTGAAAGTGGACACTTATTTTGGGAAGGAGGAGGATGTATGGTTTTGCAACTACTGCTGTTTTCAACCCATTATGTATGTTAAAATGGGCTAGACAAATAGATCCAGCTAACTATTTCCGGAACGAGTTACCTTTTACAAAAAGTGTAAACAAGCTGACCATTTGATATGGAATTTTGCTTTTCTATCAACACCCAAACATTTGATGTTTTACTTACGAGAATTTTTTATGATCCAGCAATCTGTTTCGTGTTTTTGGGTGTTCTGAGGGAAGCTCAGAAGAAGCAACTTTAGAGGCAACAAAGAATCCCACGAGGTATTGCCTTTTAAATTTCTGTTGATTTTTTAGCAAAGTTATTCATTTGCTTCTCATTTTCGGAACTTCTGATGAACTCTTTTTGTTCTTTTAGGAGGCAAATACAAACCCCACCAAGATTCCCAAGATCCCTCGGAACCCTTCCCCGTGTTAGCAGGCGAGGTATGTTTGATCTTGCCACCGGATTTTACGCAGACTCTGCACCAATATTATCATATGATCTTAAAGGTTTATAATTTGCCTTACGGATTTCACCGGGAAGTGACAGTTGCATGAAATTTTTGGAAGAATTCTAGTAAAAAATGGCTCCAAACACTTTCCCTGAACTCTACTCGTACTTGATAGTACAAGGGGCAAAATGTATGATGTATAATCATATAATGAAGTGTACTATAAATCATATTTAGTGTAACAAAGAGTTCTTTTTTCTCGATTAATGTAACAAAGTGTCAAGAACTCAAGATTTTCTATTTAATGTAAGAAAGTTTCAAAATTTCCTATTTTTTATCTATTTGAACGGTAACCTGTTGTTTTTGTAACATTTGATTACTTGGATGTCAAGTTTATCGTCCTCTTTGCCATAAACCTTATAAAAACAGGTATCTATGTCATCAAATGTTACAGATCAACGGATTATCGGTCAAAATCTGTATAAAAATTGGAAAAATTTGAAACTTCATTATATCTATTTAGAATTTCTTTTGCTTAACTAAACCAGACTTTGTTGTATTTTGATGTATATTTGCCTTAGCACAAGGCATGTGAAAAGCAAAGAAAAAACCCGAAGGGTTGACCACGCCTTATACACGCACTAACTTTTTTGGTGTTTTAACCTAAAAGGATCCGACAACTTGGGAATTGACATCAATGGCAGCAGTTACGATTTCTCAAGAAAGTTGCTCCACCTTGCATGGCACCCAAACGAAAACTCAATCGTCTGTGCTGCTTCAAACAGCCTGTACATGTATTACGCATGAAAGGTCAAGTACGAGATTCTGTACAATTTTTCTCTTATATACACTTGTAGAAATTAGACAACACTTATAGGCCATCAATGAAGATCCATCATCAAAATTCTCCAAGATTCGGGTCGAGTCAAAATGTGTTCCTAGTCAAGAACGTAGACCAACCCGATCAGAAAAAAACGTCTAAGAGATGATGTTACAGTAAAAAGGTGCGGTTTTGTACTCGTTTCATTACAACGATCATGATTATTACGGTTACTATAGTTTTTAGTCAAAAGAACATAAGCTCTCTTACTACCAAAACATGGAGGAAATCATCATGCATCTTTTGTTAAAGCCGATATTTGAACGTCTTCGGAAACTTGTCATATCACCCTTAAAAAAAAGGGTGTATAGGCCCGGTCCTAGGCCAGGCCTGCCCCCAAACTTCGAGCTTGATCGGGCTCTTAGGCTTGGCCTGACTTGGACCAGGTTTAAAGTTCATTAGGCCAAGATCGGGCTATGGGTTCACTAGGTCTAGGCTTTTTGTAGTTGGGTATGGATTAGGTTTTGGGCTTGGGTTTTTTGTACATCTTCAGTTGTGTTTGCCAAGTGGATCACTAAACTTGTACAAGTTACCTTCATGATCGTGCAAAGGTGGTAAGTAATCAAGATTAAGGTTTTTTTCTTAAAACATATTCATATAATTAAAAACTTTTACATTTATAAGCACATTTAATTTTCACTTTCCTACCATGTAAGACAACTCTCAGTACATTAAGATTGATATCAGTTGACAGTTGTAACAAAAATCTCGCCTGTACTTTAATAGTCGTTAAAAAATTTCGTTAGTTGGAGGACATTTTTTGTCCTTTTATCAATCTTTTTTTGTTTTTTTGGCAATCAAAATTGATTTTATGATTAGATAAAAGACAAAAAGAAATCGATAAAATGATGAAAATATCTCTCATTTTGAAGGAACTTTTTTACGGCCGTTAGAGGAAAAGACCAATTTCGGATGTTTTTTGCAAACCATGATGGCCATATTTTAATTTCAAAATTGTAAAGACGAAAAATATTATTTTGGAACAACCACATGGACAAAATCTGTAGTTTACTCCAAATTAAATTAGAAATGTAGTGAAATTAAAAAAAAAAAAAAAACTCCATCTGTGTCTTTGTGTGTTGATATTCGTTGTTTTATCTAGTCTCTTAATGGGTATGAAAGACTGAAGGGTTTCATCAAAGATAGTTGGGCGTTATAGGTTCAGAGTTCAGACCTAACCCTTTCTACCATGTTGCTTGAGCATTTGAGGTCTTGTTTGGGATTTGAAAGCTTTTGTTTTTATACTACGGCTCGAAATGCTATGAACAATGATTGTTCTTCCATCGTTGTTGTCGACAGGTACATACGCATAAGCTAACTTGATTTCAGTGATAACCATCGTCGTTGTTGTCACTTTGTACGCCTTATGAAGCTATTGTTTATACATATAATTTATTTCATCATGTTATTCATTAATCGGTATTAGCACGTACTTGGAAAACATTTTCGTTAAGTTTTTTTTTTTTTTCAATTATATGATATTTATATACAACAAATACTTACTCAAACTCCTTACCTTTTTTGGTGACGTTTGAAACATTGACCTCCTAGGATGCTGGACTTTATCGGTAACCTCGGTATCGCTAGGCCAATTATCCTGTAAGTAATGATGGCTGAAGTTCTTAACCAAAAAGTAACGATGCTGACATTAAAATCTCAAATAAATAGTATGTCATGTAAGGGTAAAAATGGTAATTTATGTCTTTTAGACTATTTATGTGGACATAAATAACTTTGGACAACCGATCCAATCCAAATAACCATTTGATTGTATCACTCATATATATTAAATAATATTTTAATCTAAAATACATGAAATTCCACATAATCAGGCATTAACCTTCATTGATAACCGGTCCAACATAAAATGAACATTACTGATGGGTCATAAATGTTCTTGGCAGGTCCGTTTGGTCCCGATTTCAGACTTTTGTTACTAGTTGTGCATATTTCATAACAACAAAACGATAAAAGAAAATTACAATTTTTCCTTTAAGATTTAAAATTACCCGTTTAACCTTCATTTAAAGGGGTTCGTACTTCTTAACATGGTAAGATTTGGATCAAAAAACTATCAAACTTGTATATGCAGTCAACAGACGATTCGCCCTTTCTCGAGTTTTATGTTCACCAAGACCAGAAGGTTGCATTCAATATTGAATTCAAAAAATTCGTAACTTAATCGATACCACTATTGTTGTATAACCACCACCATTGATTGATGTTATGGACATCATGATAGCTGTGTTTGCAAACTCGTTGGGCCTCGATCATGTGTCCAATTGATGCCATAACTACGTGATCCAAACAACATTTCGATAGAAATTTTACCTACAATTTTTCTTGAACCTCTAAAACCGAAATTTGCCTCATGTTCCAATTTCCCTGAACTTAAACTTACTTATTATCAGATCAGTCTTACTTTTGGTACATTCCATGCTGCCATTTCTTACAAAATGTGATGTTTTACCTATATATAAGCTTGGGAGATATATCTGTTTTCTTCAGAACTGACAATTGAACTTCTTTTTATAAAACTTTGCGGGTCACTAAAATCATTTCCTTGAAAATAGGAACTTTGTCCTCATAATTAGTGGGGGCATCTCATCCTCACATTGGCATCTAGTTCCCGACTAGCTTTTGGGCACTTATGTTTCTATAGGATATTCTATGTTACGGGGAATTTTCTTACTTCACAACAACTTTATCCTTCAGTTATGATACTGGTTCTTTTACATATTATTCACTCGTCGACTGTTGCAACTTGAAAACATGATTTCATTGGATTCAACATGCCAAAATGCACTATGCATGTTCTTTAGCTCTGTAGCAAGGTTTAGTTGACATACAACCCATGTTACTTCATTACTGGTGCTAATGATCAGAACCAGCTTCGCCATCTTCCTAACGTGCATGGTTCCTTTCTATAGTGATGCCTTGAGAAGCAATTAGCGTTTGACTAGATGTTATCGGTTTCTCTTTCTTCAACACTGTTATTTTGTCGGGCCTAGATTGTCTTTTGTCGTTCTTGACTTTGGTTGACCTAGTCAACTACTTTTCTAAATCACTTTTGTTCGAAATCTTGACCTTCTACTTCGTTACAGTACAACGGTCTCAACATCTAATAAGAAAACGGAAATTGGGGAGAGAGATAAGGGCGGCAAAAAGGGAGGAGAAGAATGGGAAGGTGATTGGTGAAGGAAAGAAAGAACGAAAGGTAAAACTCTGTACGATCAATCACGAGTATTGCTCGTGATTGAATGATAACGACGATGGTTAACAACAAAACCAAGCGAGTTTTATACCTTGGAGATGCACGATGGCTAGACCTTCCAAGTTTGTTCATGATATACAAAAAAAGCTCGGGTTTTTCTAAGTTTTTTAGGGCATGTGTTTCAGGCCGGACTTTAACCGAATCATGAAAAAAAGTTGGCTTGATCGAGGTTGCTAGGCGTGGGCTTTTTTGAGCCGGATTTGGATCAGGCTTTGAGCTTGGAAATTTTAGTGCATCTCAGGCTTTGGAAATTTTAAGCGCTTACCGACATGAGTCAACACTATGATTTATTTTGATGCGTAAAAGTCTAGTATATCAAAAATATATCGAATGCAACAATTTAGTGGGTAAACGTTTATCTGAGTAAGAGTCGTCATCCTCACTTACCAGGCAAGAGTCGTCATTTTCACGGCCTTTTGTGGAAGGGGTATTTTGGTAATTAGCACAGTAGTTGTCTATCACCTTGTAATTGCGATGGAGATTTTTCAACAAGGGTAAAAAAGTAAAAAATAGATATTTGGTTAGAAAAGTCATTTTCACGACCTTTTATGGGAGGGGTATTTTGGTAATTAGCACATGAGTGGTGAGCCTCCTGTTTGTTCCAAATATATATTTTCATTAGTAGCCCCACATTTCCATCCTCTCAATCCTCTTCCAGCGTTTCTAGGGTTTTCGTAACCCTTTTGCTTCTCTCTATCCCTACACCATTTCCATGGCTGAGGAGGCACAGTATTCGTCCCCCGGTGACTTTCCCACCACCAAGCGCAAGTACGATGACTCCACCACCCCACCGCCTTCAGCAACCCGTCGACCCACTGGATTTTCCGCTCCCATCATTCCTTCACAGTCTCCCGACTCCGCTCCGGCCTACAACAGTGTACCTCCACCCGTAGATGAGATCGAGCTCGCTAAACAGAGGGCTCAGGAGATCGCTGCTCGTCTCTTTAACAACGCCGAGGCCAAACGCCCTAAGTTCGAGAATGGCGGCGGATTTGATTCTAATGATAGCAAGGGTTTCAGCTCTGGTCCTACGGGTTCGATTCTTTGCTCAAATCTAATGATCTTTTTACCTTTTTCTGGTTTAGGTTTTGTGATTGTGATAATTACATTGGTAATCTTGGCTTTATCTCTAATACGAACACATTTTTTGAGTGGATTCGACTAAAAATCAAATAAAAAAGGTTCTCCTAATTGTTTTACAGCAAATAGAAAGAGATTCTTTAACCGCAAAGAATTTGGTTGTTCAATTATATGTGGTTGAATAAATTGAAATGAACAGTCTGATGTTCTTTTGTGCTCTCACTCACAGGGCGAAGTACTTATTTCTTTACATAATTTGCCGAATCTAAAACCGATACATGTAACACAGTTTGAAATCAAGGATGATTTATATGTCTAAATTAAAAAAAAATGTCTCTTATCATTCACCTTAAAAAATTGTTGCGCATGATTTGCAAGTTTTAGATAACTACAAAATAAAACAAGGATATATGGTAAATTTAGCTGCCAAAACTTTCAATCAGCACCAATCCTAATTTGTAAGGTGGGCGTACAACAGATGTATTCCTGGGCCCTTTTTTTCTTGCCCTCGTTAGTTATGACTATTATGAGTATTTGAGCTTAAATTTTCTAGCAGAACTGGTTACTTTTATCATCTATTCATTTGTTTTAAGGCATATACGGAAGTTTTGTATATATTCACCTCTTGTTTTTGTTGCTTAGAAAGATTTGAATTGTGGATATTAAAGAATTCATATACGTCTTTTCTCTCAGGGCGTGGTCTTTCAGTTAATTTGTCCATGAAATATAAAAATGTGCTGTGGTGTTTGGTATTTTCAGGTGTGTTATGACTGTTAAATTAGATAACCCCTTATTGGTTTATTTTTTCATCATTGCAGATTATGGGCAGAAGCCTTTTTCGACCACTGCTTCTTCTGTACCTTCTTCTTATGGTTATGGAAGCCCAAGTAAGAAGATTGACATACCAAATGGAAGGGTAGGTGTGATTATTGGTAAAGGTGGAGAGACTATTAAATATCTTCAGCTGCAATCTGGAGCAAAGATCCAGGTTACCCGAGATATGGATGCAGATCCTCATTCACTTACCAGAGCAGTTGAGCTGACAGGTTCTGCAGAATCAATAGCCAAGGCTGAGCAATTGATAAAGGATGTGCTTGCTGAGGTATATATGCTATTGTTCTATATGATGATTCAAGTTTCTAAAGATCTTTTTCATATGTTTGTAGTTGATGCCTTTTTCAGTTTTGTTTATTTATTTGTCTTCAATGCTGGCTTTATGTATTATTGGTAGGATTCACTGTTCAGTATATTGTGACATGCTTTGACTAGCATGTGTATGTTTAGATGTTGATGCTTATTGGCTGTGTGATTCAGGCCGAGTCAGGAGGTTCTGGCATAGTTTCTCGAAGAATACCTGGTCAGCCAGGTGGTGCTGAACAATTTGTGATGAAAGTCCCAAACAACAAGGTATTTTTATGTTCAAAGCTGGTTTACGCTTACTGATCATTTGCCGCAACTTATAATTGTTCTAACTTTTGTTTTTGCTTCTAGGTTGGTCTTATTATTGGTAAAGGGGGCGAGACCATTAAAAATATGCAAGCTAGTACAGGAGCACGTATTCAGGTATTTCCAAATTCTCTATTATTTTTAGCTCACTTACATGGATTTTAAAAAATGATGTGATGCCTGGCTGCTTTGCTCCAACCAATCTATAGTTCCATGCAAACCCCCTTTTTACATGGGGGCAAGGCAAGCTTTAGGCCTTTTGGTCAAGCGGCATGGCCTCAAAGTTATCGATTTATTTCTTTTGAGTAACGGCGTATGACCTCAAAGTCATGGTTCCATGCTAAGCTTTCTTGGTCTTTCTCCTGGAAAATGATACTTGGCTTTTGTGGGCAATGCTGAAAATAATTCATGTAGGACGTGACAAAAGGATGGATGGAGTATTGTTTGTTACAAATGAAAAATAGTAGTTTTTTTTGTTGAAGGATGGTGAACCAACTTATGATGGTATACTTGTATCAAAAGGTGGGAGTGTCAAAGTACTTTTTCTGTGTGGTGAATGTATTTACTGCTTTCATATATATTAAGTGTGTGTGAAGACTAAAATATGGGAGGATATCTGCAGTATATTTTCTCATTTTCTTCTGACAAAGGATACTATTTAATTATTTTCATAGTCTTTGCATTCTAAATCGTCCTTAGGAAATGCTGAATGCTCACTTGTTACTTTAACCAAACTAATTGTAACACTTGTTGGATGTCCAAAGCTTAATTGTATATATTTTGCAGTTGGGATACAGCTCATTAAAGGTCGACTCATTTTACTCTATTTTCTCTTTTTTCACAGTTTTCTCCTGCAGTCTTAATCAAAGAGTGTATAAACATGTCAAGTCACATTTATTTGAGTGTATATCATCGAACTACTGTTGGGTTTAATTTTTTTTTTAAAGAATGTCAAGCTGAGACATGCAACTTGCTCACTCTTTGCCATTCCTCTGTTAGTATGTTGTCATTTTACCTATTATATTAGGTCACAAGACAAGCAGTTTATTCCAATTATCAACACCTTTTTATCCTGATCCTTGGGCCTGATGCATTTATAACACCATTATTTATGGATCTATATTGTTGTATTATTTTGTGACTTTATCTTATATATTGAGTTTTAAATCTGCATATGTTGATTATCAATTTTACAAGTAAAATATTGAAGCTGATAAGAATGTACCTATTATCAGGTGATACCTCTACACCCACCCCCTGGTGATACGTCAACAGAAAGGACTGTACAGATAGATGGATCCAGTGATCAGATTGAGGCTGCAAAACTGTTGGTTAATGAAGTGATCAGTGAGGTATGTGCATGTATGCAAGGAGACCGAGCATCTGCTTGGTTTCAAAAAACATATGCTAAATTGCACTGGCTTTCAGTAGAGTTTTTTTTCCTTTGTGAACATTGGGGCATCTTTAATCTTACATGGATATCATAGTATACTTTGATTGCTGTGATATGACAAATACGTGAATCTGGTGGTTGCATTCTGATTCAAAATGGATCTCTTTTTCTAATGAATTTCTAGAAGTTTCTGCCAATTTAAGAAAGATGGGGAGTCTATTAGCTAAATGTTGTTACACTTCTCATTCTGCCGTTTGTTTAACTTTTTTCTTTTCTATCTGTTCTGTTATTTTTTAACTTCACATGAGGAGTCCTTTATCATCTGACCGGAAACAGGTGTATAGCAAAGTATCTTATTATTGAGGCCATCATGTAGTATAATCCACTACTTTATAATTTACCTGATTGTTCATAGATTGCCACCACCTGCATCTCTTCCATATATTCCACTTGTAAAATATGAGGTTGCAGATTTCTGCTGTTGCTGCTCTTTGGAATGAACAGCTTGGTTGGCTGATTCTTCCTGCTAGAATCCAAAATAATACTTATGGCGGAGTCAGCTCTTGGTAGACAGCTCTCTGAATTATGAACCTGACCTCAGCCTGGTTTCTTCTAATTGCAAATATTGGATTGAACGGTAAATTGCAGATAAATATCTTCCTGTATCCATAATGAATAGAAGAGCGTCTTTATATGTTGGATTGCCTCTGCAGGGCTGTTGGAACTTCGTCAAACACACTAACAATGTCAGTTGTCATTGGTTAGACTGAATACTGTCAACTGATGCATCTGTTGCTCTTGGGGTTTAACAGTGAAATATATTTTGTTGGGTTATGAAAATGGTGATGACTGTTATATTTGTAGGGTATGCCTCTTTTACTGTTATATGGATATATGATATAGTGAGGCTATTATTAAGGTAATTGAGAAGCATAGAATTTCACAATAAAAGATCATGTGTCACAGAAAAAGCGTTGCAATTATTCTTGGATGAATGCTCAACCTTGAAGGAATCTATATATTTTAGTTAAATGTGATAGTTATATGCATGTCTTAATACTGATATTGCTGTTAGGACTGTTTTATGGGTGTTGGGTAGTCGGAGTTTTGGTGACAGCAACCTGAAACTGGTATGACTCTAAACCCTATATTTAGAAGAACTGCGAATGCATTATTGTCATGGAGATTTGAGGTGGGCTATCCATATGGGTTTTAAGGATATTAAATGCCTAACAGACTGCTTATAGGTTATTTTTATATTGATTTTATTTGGGTAGGATGATCTTCTGGCTTTCTCTATACCATTATTTCACTGCAGTTTATAAACCATAAGTGCTCTATTTCATGTTTTCAGGATCTTTTCTATTGGGTAAGTGATGATACATTGCTATGGGACTTAGGCCCAGATCTCTTTATGGGACTTGATTTTTGTACTGTTCTATAGTTGCTTTTATATCCCCCTCTCAGTTTCTTCTCTACAGAGTGTGGTTGTATCCCTGGTAATGTTCGAATTGGTATCTTGAAGTTTCACCCGTCCACTAGCACATGACGATGCTTACTTTCATATCTATTTTAGTTCCATATCGACGATTAAACCTTTTCTTCTTTTTTGATAGTGATTTAATAGTCAGAGCTATTGATCTTCTTGCATTTTATTTAAGAAAACACCATAAGAATGTATGTACTTTGGGTTTGTCTCGACTTTTCTTAGCATGCTTCTGATTTTATGATTTAATATTCATATTATATCGATTCTTTCATTGGTTGTATACTCCTTTTACTGAATGCACTTTTAGCTCCACATGACAGTTGGTGATTATTTTAGCAACTATCTACAATGTCATAGCTGTAGGGTTTGCCATATTATATTTGCTCTTTGCAAAGATTGTATAGTTTTGCGATTTGTTTTGTACCCATTCACTTCGAATAGGGAGAGGATGGGCTTCTGCTGGAGTAGCTCGGTAATACCACCCAACCAGTACGGTATGTAGGCACTTGAACCTGTCTTTGATATAATTAATGCATACATAATTACTGTCTTTGTGCTATCGTATTGAAATATTTGTGCTAGTTGTATCTTTTTCTGCCTATATGCAAGCATGTCAGTAGTATGTGTATTAATACCTCAATAGTACTGCATGCATGTTTATTCTGTGATGCACTATGCAAGTGTGGTTTCTTGGTTCATTTGAGATGACGATATTGTGCAGAATCGTCTGAGAAATCCGATGGGAAGTGGTGGATATTCACAGCAAGGTTACCAAGCTCGACCTCAGACCAATTGGGCACCACCTGGTCCTCAAATGCAGCAGCAGGGCTATGGTTATATGCAACCTGGTGCATATCCTGGTCAACCTGCTCAGTACAGCCAAGCACCATATGGCAGTTATCCTCGTCCACAAACTTCAGGTGGATATGCTGCTGGCTGGGACCAGTCGGCAGCTGCACCAGCTCAGCAAACAACACAGGGTGGTGGTGGTTATGATTACTACAACCAGCAACAAGCTCCACAAACCCAAGCACCTGGTGCTCCCGCTGGCCCAACCGATGCCTCTACCTATGGTTACAATCAGCAAGGTCAAGCTTATGGTCAGGATGGGTATGGTGGATATGCATCTGCACCCCAATCTGGTTATGTGCAGCCACAGGCGGGATACGATCAACAAGGTTATGGTAATCCAACACCTGGATATAATACTGAAACCACCGATGGGCAAACTGCTTCATATGGAGGTCAGGCTGATAATGGTGCTAACCAAGCTCCACCGGCATCCGCACCTCAATCTGGTTATGTTCAGCAACCTAGCCCAAACCCGAATTATCCTCAGGGTTCTACTCAGCCAGGGTATGGGGTGGCTCCAACGTCCCAGCCAGGCTATGGTGCTCAGCCGCCTTCTGGATATGGTGGTTATGGACCACCCCAGACTCAGAAACCTCCTGTTACACCAGCCGCTTATGGGCAGCAGCCGCCCCAGCAGTCTCCTAATGCTGCTCCACAAGGTGGGTATGCCCAACCAGCTCCGTACCCTGGTGGATATGCCCAGCCAGATGGTAGTGCTCAGCGGCCTCCAGCCGCTGCTTATGGTGGTGGTGGTGGGTATGCTCAAGCACCATATGGTGCCTCAGCTGGTGGTACTCAGGCAGGTGGATATGGGGGACAGCAGGCGGCATATGGAAGCTCTTATGGCGGTGGTTATCCCCAGCAACCTCCTGCATATTCTGGCGATGCAGCAGCTGCCCCAGCAGCTCAAGGTAGTCAGCCTAGTGGTGGTGGTGCGGTTGCTAAAGCTTCGCCTCAGCAGAGTTGATGGCGGGTGGCTGGTGATGGTGGTTAAACAAGCCAATTATGGGTTGTGTAGCTTGGAATAGACTTTGGTACTGAGACGATGTTTCTTTTGTTAATTGAATATTTTTGAATGTTTTTCTCAAGTACATGTGGACTTCTTTTTAGACATGTTCCATATTGCAGTGCATCAAAAATGATTTGATTGGATGTACAAAGTGGGAAACATATCAAGGGGTCTACTCGGTAAGAAGGAATGCTGACGAATATGCCGACTACTACTAGTATGAGATGCTTACTAAATTCTTCATTTTGTTAGCCGAGAATCTTTACTTGGTAAGGTAAAGGTTTAGTAAACGTTTAGTACTCAACCCTATAGTTTTTGGCATAAATTTGATGACGTGCATACATTGTAGAATAAAAAAGAACGTGGTACGTCCATTTGAGACGATGATCCACTAATACGTGTTCTTTACAACAGTTTTTTCTAACTTCTCTAAACTAGAAACTAATGGATCTTATCCATACTAAAGAAATTACTTACAATGAATAAAAATATCAAAATGATACAAGTGATTCCTAAATTAGGATCTCACTGAATGAGACACAAAATGGTTTAAATGCTTGAGAGAATAGTCGTTACTTAAACGTCTGTGTTGTGTAGTTGATGAGGTTTCGAAGCAACAAAGTGACGTTTGTACGAACATACTTGAAACATCTATATAAGTTTTCACAAACTATTAGATTTGTGTTTATTAAAAATATTGTTGTAAAAGAACTACCAGACCTTGTTTTAACAAACTATCTCATGTTTTCCCATAATACTTTTGTGAGAAGAGGAATACTATATGCATCCCTTTTATTTTATGTCATAATCATGTTAAATCATGAATTGAGAATGTAAAAAGTAAGTTTTGATGTTGATGTGTGTGACAACATGGGGAGTAAATTAGTAGATGGTGGTGCATTTAGTAATAGGGGGATGTTAAATTACCTATACTTACTAATTTTCTCTCATACACATCAACACCAAGACTTACTTTTTACATTTTTGATGCATAATTTGACCTGATTTTGACATAAAAAAGGATGCATCTTACATTCTCTTAGCAATAAATAAGGTCCCGTTTCCGGGATTGGACTGGATTAGGAATTGAGTCCCATGTTGGTTTGAAAAATTTCCTGAATTTGGAATACTGCAATTTCAATGAAATCCCAGAAACATAGGATTTTAAAATTTCATAAGATTGGTACTTCACGAGATTTCGTAGGATTTATACGTAATAACGGTTCAAAGTATTTTAAAAACATTTGTTTTGTAATAATCAATTAATAAAAATGTAATTTAATTATTATTTTTTTCATTATTTATAATTTTTAATAAATTAGTTTTAAATAATGAAGTTCAATTTCATTCCAAATCATATAAACCAAACACACAAAAGATTCAAAATCATTCCAAATCTAAATTCCTCTAACTCCAAATCATTCCATGAAATCCAAATCTCTCAAAACCATTACATCAAATCAAACGCTCCTTAAGGCTGTATTTAGCCTACATCTTATGAAAATTGATATGCACTTTGAGATAATTCTAGCTTTTGGCCTAGCGATATGTGAGTATTTGGTCTCCTTGAAGGCAGATGCTCAAACCTCACCAAATGTGAGCAGAGCATGCGAGTTTATTTGTTATATTTGTCATATATAAATATTATATACTCAAAAAAAACCAATAGACATGCTTTTACTCGAAGAAAACTAGTCGAGGGACTAAATATTCAAAATGACCAAAAACCTAGGAATCATTTGTTCAATTTAGACTAAAATATCGGAGAAGAAGGATTAGGGGCTATTATGCCATTTTTCAAAATATCAAGGGTTAAATTTGTTAGTAGAAGAAAGATTAGGGGCCATTATATCACTTACAAAAAATCAAGGGTAAAAATTGTTAGTATATAACACTCATCCATGGAGCCTCAAAAACCCTTGTCATCGCTCTCTCGCCCTCTCAGTAACTACCAAATTTTAGAACAAGGTAAATCAAATTCCTTTTGGTTCATCATCGATTAATTTCTAATAATTTGGGGATTAGGTTAAATGTATGTGATTTCGTTTTAATGGGATGATTTTATGCGTGAAACGTATTATAGTTGTAAGAGCATACAGATTAATTATGGGGAATGTTTGAAATTCCTGCTAATATGTTCTTGGAAGCCATAGTATTGATCGTAAAATTCGTATGCAACATTTTGATCTCTTTTGATTCATCGTGTTTATGCTTAATATTCCATGGCATTAAATATATGATTAATTGGAAACTCATGTAAACTTGGGGTACAATATGGTGAAAGTAGCTGGTATCAAAATGAGATGTATTAGAATCTCTTCTGGTTTAATTTAGGGAATGATCGATTAGAGGTGTATGGCTTGGGAGCTTACGTGAAGTCGTTTGGTTTCATTTTTCAGTGGGTACTTTTAAATTGCTTAAGATGGATGATTATTATGGGTAAATTGTAATTCAGACGCTCTTCATTTCTGAGCAATCTGAAACATTGGCTTAGATTTCTTGATGCCTTAGTTTTGACATTATGATTCCTGAGTTTAAAGACATGAGAACACTATGCAAATATACATGGGATCTTTTGTGCTGAGTGATTAAGAGGTTCTGTTTAGAATTAGTGTTTAATGAAAAAAACAAATTAATTTACGCTAGAAGATAATTGCGTGTTCCAGACCTTGGAGTCTACATTTGATCCATCATAGCATCCGTGCAGGTTCGTTTTAATTTTCAACGTGTGCATTTGGTTGTTATGTATGCATTCACATGTGAATAGTGATATTGGAAGGCTAACGAATAATGGCCAGGCTTTATATGAACATTACACATTTGATAAGTTTTGAAGGAATATTTCTATGGATTTAGTGTCAACTTCTTAAAAATACCCGTTATCGTTTTAAAGTTAAGTTCCACGTAGAAAAAGAACTGCTGCCAAGACTAGTTATTGAACTCCATCAATATCTTTTGAAGCTGTTAATACCCTCTTTGTATAATGAACTTATTCTCTTACCTTCTGTTTGTAATCTATGTTTAGAATAATTATCATTTTGTTGATTCATATTTCTTATTGGCTGAATGGATCTAATTTCTTTTTGTGTGTGTGTTCAAACCATTCAATCTTTTGTACGCTATTATAGGGTAGGAAATATGGCATCAAAGTTGCGCATGTTACAATCAAAGGCGGCTGAAGCCTCAAAGTTTTTGTCCAAGCATGGATGCACCTATTACAAGCAGACACTAGAGAAGAACAAGAAATACATTCAGGATCCACCGACTATAGAAAAATGTCAGCAGTTGTCAAATCAGCTACTTTACACCCGGCTTGCCAGGTTCGCCACATTGTTACTTCTTTAGAATATCACCATTTTGTTTAATTAAGAAAACCAAATCTTTAAATTAAGTGGACTCAGTTTGTGTGTGAATTTTTTTATGGCTAGAGCTGATCTTGCTTTTCCACTATTATGTAGGTTTTCCTCTGGCTACATTCTAGTTATTTTATCAATATGTATATATGTGTGTGTATGTATATGTCTATACAGGAGCGAAATTAATCATGGGGTTTTTCTTTTTTTGGGGGGGGGGGGGGGGGGGGGCTGTCCCCACGAATGGAAGAAGAATTAGGAGTCTTAAAGGTGCACCCACTTTAGTTTGATGCGTGCTCCATAAGTTAACAAAAAACGACTGCAGCTATTGCATATGGCATTACAGGCTGCAGTTCAGCATCAGAAAAGAAGGAAAATAGAATGAAAAAAATCACATGGGTGTTCCAAAAAATCACTTGTATGTTATTTTTCATTAAAACATACCTTTTATGATCAACCTCACAGAACTTTTTTGGACCCGCCTCTGTTTCTATATCTATGTAAGGGGCCGTTTACCAAACGCTTACTCGGGTAAGTGAACACCAAATCACATTACCTTACCGGATGAATATGGTAAGGACCAAAAATCTTACCCGATAAGAGCGAGATAAAGACCAAGAGTCTTACCCGGTAAGTGAGGGCAACAACTCTTACCATGGTAAGCGCTTACCGGATAAATTGTTATATACGATAACGTTGTGGTAGACTAAAATCTTACCCAGTAAGTAATGATAGTGTTAAATTTTACCGGTAAGTGCTTACTGGGTAAGTGTTTGGTAAACGGCAGTTTGTATATGCATATAGATATGTGTATCTATATGCAACAGATATGGATTCTAGCTACTATATAGAATCTGGGTCTCATTTAATCTTGGCATAATCAATGATATTCCAATCCTTTCCTTTTCTTCAAACTGTTCCCAACTTTTTGGACAAACTTTATTTTTCGCACACCTTTTGCTATCTGGGGTATTCACGAAAACAACCGCCCTATTCTTTCAGAACCCCCTCCGTGTGAGATATAATGGACTCGTTTGGTTAGGTTTTTTAATCGCTATACTCAAATTCCTATTAATCAATGCTTGTCTCCTTGAATCAGCATTCCCAGTCGCTATGATGCATTCTGGAAGGAGCTTGATCAATTGAAGCAACTAATAAAGACGAGACAGGATCTTAAAACTGAAGATCTAGGGATTGCCGCTCTTTTTGGGCTCGAGTGTTTTGCTTGGTATTGTGCTGGCGAGATTGCAGGCCGAGGATTTACCATCACTAGTTACTATGTTTAACTCTTGCTATCAAGGTTAGTTTCTTGCCTAGCATTTACAGATAATAAGATAGTCCACTTAGCAATGTAGTTCTTAGTCAATGGATGGAATATACCTAACTACGTTTGTCAAGAACACACCGGTCAGAACCACTTTCCGAATAATTTGAAAACTTTGTTTTCGTTGCCTGTGTATGTGTGTGTACATGTGAACGAGGGTGCTCTAATGAACCGGAAAGATTTCCTTTCTGAAGAATTTGGGTTGTTTTATGTGTCTCGGGTTTATCCTTGTTGCACAAAGTCTTGGGGATTCCTGTGAATTTTCTGAACCTACGGCACCGAGCAGCCTGGCTAAACAGGCTGGTTCTGGTTCTTGTGGTTTTGCTGCAACCGGTGAATGTGGCCACAACCATGGCCCATATGGGTGAGCACAACCAGCAAGGACCCAAACCCATGGTTAAGTGTTTGCTGTTAGGGGATATATGCAATGCCGAAAGTTTTTTCTGCCGGTGACATAAAATAATTATCGTAACATTATATAAAATTTAATTGCAGTTACTAAACATAGTACAAAACATATCAACTTAAATTTCAATGCACAAGGGTGGTGCCTGATTGGTTTGAACTTGGCTCCAAAGGTCAAAAGTACCTGGAGGTCCCAGGTTCAAATCCAAGGAGGAATAAAAATCCTCTTGTGGCTACGGAGGTTCAAATGCGGTGATTCCGGGCTATCTGCAAAGCAGGTGGTCGCCCTGTGATTAGTCGGCTCGCATAGCGGGTTGAATATCTATGTTAATCAAAAAAAAGTTTTTCTGTTTTACCTTTGTTAACCATTAAAACTCAAATTTAAGTTCCAATTCAAAATGTTATTGTGGTCTCTCAGTTTTCCTGATGACAATACCGAGTGGTAACATAAAAAGAATAATAATAGTAGCGTTGTTAAGAATAAAAAAGTTATATTACGACAAACAATATCAATGACACAGACATACTGCCCCATTGAAAATAGTTTTCTTAAATGTACCGAAAATGGGTTAATTGGGCTCCAGTTTTGGCCCTAAAAATGTTAACATCAAAACCGAAATCAGTTTTCAATCTTACAGCAAATTCGAACACCTTCTGAATCGATAAAACGTCGATCAATTGAAATTCATATATTCTGTGCATATCGACATGATATATATTAAAGATCCACAAGGCTTAAAACTTTCTCAGGTCTAAGGAACCTTCAAACCTGCTTTCAATGTGCGCAAAAATCCATTTGGACTTTTGCTTGGAAGTTGAAAAAGAGTCTGATCAGGTTTCTTTAAGATGAGTTTTTTAAGCTAGATTTTTTAGGATTAACCGAGCTTTTTCGGGCAAGGCCTTTTGAGTCGGGCCTAGGCCTGAATCTGCACCCAAAACTTTGGCCAAATTGAGCTTTTAGAGGTCTGGCTTAGACCGGGCATCAGACTTACTAGGCCCAAAATTTTCGGTTGGACAGGGTCACAAACTTGGGTTTTCTTGGTGCATATCTAATATCGATATCGTTAGCGGTTTTAAACTCAAGTGACATAAAATTAAGCTTATTTATACCAATTTTGTAAAAAAGAAGTCATTAAACTAAATTTGTAAACAAACAAGGGTGGTGTCCGATTGTTTTAAGCTTGTGTTCTAAAGATTAAAAGTGTCTAGAGGTCCTAAATTTGAATTCAAGGAGGAATAAATAATCCTCTTGTGGCTATGGATATTCAAATGCGGTGACTCCAGACTATCCACAAAGTGGATGGTCGTTCTGGAATTAGTCGGCTTACCCAACGGATTGGATATCTAGGTTAACAAAAATTCAAGGACCATTTGTAATTTAAATTCTCGTGGGAATTCTATTTCTGTCTTCTGGAATCTGGATAACACAGCCGGCCCATTTCAAAACCTTGGGCTTCAAATAGGGTTGGATTCCATAACCATAGGCCACCATTTTTAGGGTTTTGAACCACAACTCACACGCCTTCTGTGCTTATATATTCCATAGATCGATTCCATCAACAGCAGAAGCAGATAACAAGGCAGAGTCATGTACTAGCTGCCGGTGCTCGTTTTCCGATCCGTTTTTAACGATTCCGGTAATGTAAGCCGTTTTGATCTCCTTAAACTAGTAGGATGTTTTTTTATCTTTTCAAAGCTTAGAAGAAATTAGATCAGAAATTCTAGGATTTCTTCAAATCAAAAGCTGGTTTTCTACTCTGTGATTTGCGTTTTTAGGGCTCTATTATTCGAGTCAACAGCAGGCGTCGATTTGTTGGCGACTTGACTGCCGCTTAGAGCCTAGATTGTATTCCGGTAGAAGATCCATGAAAACTTCTATTCATGTTTTCATGACACAATATATCGGATACATTTCTTCATTATCATCGTATGATGCACAAGTCTCTGATGCAGCTTGAAAGGCATACTTAGACACGGGGGCTTTGTTGAATTCCCAAAACAAGCCACCTTTTGCACGGTGCCAATAAATTGCTACTTAACACGATTGAAGGAGGATGTTTTACTCATTTTCTTTCAAATTACAAGTAGCCATATTCGATCATCATTGATTTCTATCTCGTGCATCCGAATTTGAGTTCTTATCTGGTTTTTTTTCTATTTAATTTGTGAAGCTTGTAATTGAATGTTGAGATGCAGTGATGAGAAAGCTAACATGTAAGAAGATACCTTCAACTTTGTGTTGAAAATCTTCTATGAAATACTCTTGTTACGCTTGGCTTCTGAGCATATACATTCCTCAATTGGTTTTCACTTTATTTGAACATAAATGCGTCCATATGGGTTTTTTAATTGTTTGGGTTGTGGAACATGGTTGGATGGATTGTTTGGTTTTTGATATTTTGTAACTGGCTAATTACATCTTCATTTGAAACCGTGAGGAGTGCTTTTTCAATAGTATATATCAATGCAGCATTTAAAAATTCATCACCGATTTTGTTGTGTAAATTTGACTTTTTATAATCTTTGTTGCAGGAAAACATCTTTTGGCAACCGGTAAAACCAAAGCTAACTTCAATAATATTACTCAAATTGGCAAATCTTTTATTTTGATGCACAATCAAATAGTTGTTTCTCAGGAGTGGTCCTTCCTATACGACTAAAATTATGAGGATACAACTCATTCAACTTCAATAAATTTGATACATTAAATTGCGGAAATGAATCATTGGGACTCAAAGTAGTTATATTTTTAAGCAATTTGGTGCTTATCTCAATTAAATGGATCTCCAAACTCTTGAATTTGAATGTCCACAAATAAAACATCAAGTGCTAAATCATGAAATCAAAATGTCTGCTAAAATACTAGTTGCTTGAGTGTGATTAAATCCATTATAGTTATCCTATTCAACATACTGGAGCATTTCAACAAAATTTAGAAATAATGCAATTAAGCTTAAAATGGTTTTGTAACGAGAACCCCATCGTATATCTACAGCTCAAGAGCCCCATCGTATATCTACAGCTCAAGAGCCCTATTGTATATCTTCAGCTCAAAATGGGTTTGTAATGAGAACTCCATTGTACATCTCCGGCTTGTATAAGAGGCTCTTTGTAGTTGGTATTTTCCTGTTCTAGTTTCAATTTCACATTTATCAATTGTTTTTTGCACTCCATCTTTGTAATTTTGTTGAAACATGTCTTTACACTTTCAAAAAGCATTCACTACATTGATCACCATTTCTATCATATTGTTGGTGAGTAAAACAATGGATATAATATGTTTAACTATTGTTATTCAAGATCAAGGTTTTTAATCCATTGAATCCTTTGCAAATTGCTTGCTTTGTCATATTTTTGCCTTTTTACCTGTTTCAAACTCAATCAATGTTCAACAAATAAAGTATCAATAATGATAGGTTTAAGAATTGAAGTTGTCTTAGCGATACCAAAAAATCTCTTCTTAATAATATCACATGCATCAACATATCATGGAACCATCGTCGTTTCTTTTTCTTAGAAATGTCACTAGACTCATCAACTAGCAATGAGATTGAGAAAACATCATCATGAATTTCTTTACAAATGGATTTGAGTATTTGATTTGCAAAACAAGCAACAATATTTGAAGACACTCTTTGATAATAGATACCATGTGTAGGCCTGTAAACGAACCGAACGAACACGAACGGAGGCTTGTTCGTGTTCGTTCGTTTAATTTAACCGAACAAATGAACAAACACGAATGGTAAACAAACGAAAATAATTGTGTTCGTGTTTGTTCGTTTAGAAATCCGATGTGTTCGTGTTCGTTTATGTTCGTTCGTTAACAAGTTCAACGAACGAACATAAACGAACATGCCTAAATGAACATAAACGAACATGCCTAAATGAACATAAACAAACGAACACCATTATTTGTCATTCAGTTAACTATTACACATCAATTGTCGATAGTTTAAAAAAAAAACAAATCACCATTATCATTTGAAAAAAAAAAAAAACAATTCGTTCATCATCATTTGTCAGTTGTCACCTCAAGGAAGTTCAATATATATCATATCATCAGTTTCCTACAAACAAACAAAACAATTATTAGTTGTTGTAAGAAAACAAGTATCATAATTGATAAGATTAAGCAAATTACCTTGGTTTTCTTTTTGTGTAGTCTATAATGATGACGATACCAATCAGTTCCGCAAATGAACATATCTACCGTCATCGTCCCTAAAGGGGTGCGATGAGCATCGATAACTCTCCCACCAGCACTAAAAGCTAATTTTAAAGCAACAGTAGTTATCGGAATTGCCAAAACATCAGCAACCATTTTAGACAAAATTCTGAACTTCAGATTTTTCTCCTTCCACCACTCCAAGACATCAAAATATGCACCTGAATCACCAATGTACACGCCTTCTTCTAAATAAATGTCTAACTCTGACTTCACACTTGCAAAAGTGTCAACGCTTCTGATATGTTGATCATACTTTGTCGTGCCACTCTTGATACCAACTCTAGAACTTAACTTGTTATAATCACTCTTAACTCCACTCTCACTTTTGTCAGGTGCACTACTCATTTGAACAACATTAGCCGCTTTATGTTGTTCAACATACTCTTCAAACATTTTAGTAAGAGTATCTTGAACAATTTTCATTTGCTTAGGTGCCACATCCTTTGAATAAATGGAACTAAAAGAGAACTCAACCAACTTCATCTTGTATCTAGGATCTAAAACAGCACCAACGAATATCAACAGATTACAAGTACCCCAATATTTGTCAAATTTCTTTTCCATCTTGAGAGCCGTATCTCTCATATATTTACTCTCATCCAAAGATAAATCATCTAATGCTTCTTTAATCTCATACAACTCACTAAGAAACAAATTAGAGGTAGGATATTCGGAGCCTGAAAAAAAAATAAAATAAAAGAAGTCTTTTTTTTTCCTTTTAGCGTATGGAGTAGATTCTTCATTATTGACTATGTTGGCCTTTTCTCTACCACCATCAACGGCTGCCACGTCGTTTCCATCATTCGATCCGATAACAACCACTTCAGGAGTACTTTCCATTCTTGATGTGTTTGCACTTGATTCAATTTCCGTTGATTCAAGTTCTTGAAGCGATTGCATTCGATCTAAATATAAATCATCATGAAAGAAATATGGACCGCTATAAGAGACATCAGATATCTACAAAATGGAAAAAAAACATTTTAAATAATTAAAACAATAATTTAAATTAACTATATAAAACCAACGAAAATTTAGAAAAAAACAAGTATAAAATTCTAAGCTATAAAAACAAGTATAAATTAACAAGCAAACTATTTATACAAACTTTACATGGACATTGCATGATATGGAAAAGAGATAAAAGCTTAAACTATTTATACAAACTTTAGATGGACATTACATCTCCAAAAGGAAAATATAAAATTATATATGCAGCATGAATGCTTATGTTCTCTCATCTTGACATTGCAACCAGTAAGTTTGCAGCCATTGTGGGTTGTTCAATTGTTTACAAATATGAGCCTCACATGAAGCCGAAAGCAAAATAATTTTGCTTATCTCATTGATAAATAGGTCAAATATAGATGGTGACATGATAACCACTCACAAATTGCTTATGATATAATAGTTACCTGTCATTGTATTTGATCTACAAAGGAGGGCTTATGCTCATATGCTCTTTTAAGTTGATACTTGGATGTCTTTGTATATAAACAGATTACCAGAATATGCTAGATGCAAGTGCTAACTCTAAATGTATACTTTTTGACAGAGGGTAACTGCAGAAAATATGATCTTAACTATCAATACAATCAAGAGTCTTGAGGAAACTGTAAAACACTTTATGCACTCTGGTGACTTGGATTTCAGATTCTCAATACTGCCATAACTTAGATCAATGTTCTCTTGTAATAGCATCAACGCCTTCCACAGTTTGTTTACAAGAGAAACAACAACTAATTTTACCACATTTTAAGATTCTTGACTCACCCCTACATTACAAAATGCAGCAAAATAAATGATAAATAAGTACTCGTTCCTAACCTTTATCGGTATGTTTATATGGATGAATGAACTTTTTCAACATCTTAAGGAATTACATGAAAGGAATTACCTAGATAGAGACTGTCCTTGCCCTTCACGATTGGCGATTCATGAGTTCACGAGTCACCAATCGACCACCGGTCACGAAAATTGATCTTCCCTTCTGCTTCTGCCCTTCACGAGTCACGACCATCAGTCAATTGCTACAAATTTGACCTAGAATTACTACCATATTGAGTGAGAACCTAGAAGACAACCCAACAAAACCCTTTTAAAAAGCCCAATATTAAAAGTCCAAAACCCTCTTAAAAAGCCCAATATTAAAAGTCCAAAACCCTCTTAAAAGCCCAATACTTAAAAAACTTTTAAAATTTGAATTCAAACTAAATAAATAAAAATTATATACTAAAATTAATACATAAACGAACATAAACGTTCACGAACATAAATGAACGAACGTTCACGAACATAAATGAACGAACGTAAACGAACGGTAAATGAACGAACGTTCACGAACATAAATGAACGAACGAGACTCTTGTTCATGTTCGTTCGTTTAACTAAACGAACAAAAACTTTTTGTTCATGTTCGTTCTTTTATTAAATAAACGAACTTCCCGCCGAATGGTTCACGAACGGTTCGCTGAACGTTCGGTTCGTTTACTTAACCATGTGGCATGGTTGATTACCCAAAAGTTTTGGTTTAATGGTTCCATATGCAGGGCCGGCCCTGGCCACGTGCAGCCCGTGCGGCCGCACAGGGCATCAAAGCCTAAAGGGGCATCAAGTTGTCATTTCTTACTAGTTTTGGGTTTAATAATTTGAAAATTGGACAACTGAGTTTTAACTATAAAAACAGGCCCAAGGCCTAGTAGTGATGTATACTGAATGCACATCGTTGGAAAAAGTTGGAAAGTTGGAAAAGTTTTGTTTGTATAAACTTGTTTGTATGAATAAAGTTGTATGTATGAATTAATCTGGATAAGTCACTTTCTATATCATCAAGCCACTACGAAACAGTCATGCATAATTGAGCGAATAAGCTGTTAGTTCYATTAAACTTATTAAGCTGCTAACAGATAGCTCTTAGCCTTTAGTCGTTATACMTGYAACTTTTGAGTTTTATTYTTTGCTTACTATGACAGTAATTTGGATGTAATTTACTATTTTAGTTAAAAACGAATTTAGTTTTCCTTGTCTTTAAAGTCCCGAAATAAAATTTTAATTTTGCTAATTTCAATTTAGAAAAAAGAAAAATGAAAAAGAAGGAAGTATGGTCTTAACAGGATTTATCCTTCTATATTTTGTATTTGGGGTTTTGGTCGTATGTCCACACCCCCCCTTGTATTTTTTGTTTATTATAATTAATAAAAATCAACATAGAGATGAGATACTTAACTTGAATATGTTCTAAACTCTTTAAAAAATCGCATGTTTTGTTGTTTCATTGGCTTAAAAAAAAGTCTTAGGGGCATTTTTTTTATTTTCGCACAGGGCATCAAAAATCTTAGGACCGGTCCTGTCCATATGATCCTTTGGTTGTTGTGGACCATTTTTGTAGGACATCTTAAAAACATTTTTGGTTTGCTTCTCTTTGCATGTCATGGTTTGTCATTAAAATCAATATAGTTTTATCTGTGATCTTTTGTGTAACACATATATTGAAAGTTGGGGGTTGTTACCCTTGTGTTAGCGGTAAGTTGAGAGAAGGGCAACTTTGGCACCTCAGGTTGGGATGGCCAATTCACGATCATCATAAGAATACGTCTCGTGCGTTGGCATTTTTGGTCTCACCATGTTGCTCCTATTATTACATATCGACAAGTGTTGAGCCCCTAATCAGGAGTAATTCAATAATGAACAACCACCGATCAGAATGCTAGTCAATGGGGGCAAAATGTTTAAGTGTGTGTATTAGACTTTGCTACTGACGTTGAAGCCACGTACCTGATGATGGTACCATTGATGATCATTTTGTGCTCAAAACCAATGCCCGTTACACTAAATGTAGAGGTTAAGAGTCATTTGCGGCCAAGAGATTGGACATTGATTAGTTGTGTTTCCGCAAAAGATCAATACTTGAGCTATTTAGCATCTGGTGAAGATATTAGCAGGAAGCCTTGGTATTTGATCAACCTACACCAAGAAAAGGCATTAGTGGATCTCGTGTAGTTGAGGAAGCCACTAACAAATAGATAGATCCTCATCTTCAAATGATTTAATTTTATTCAATAGACAAAAAGCACAACAATAACCACAAGGGTGGTGTCTGACTGTTTTGAGCTTGGCTCCAAAGGTCAAAAGTACCAAGAGGTCCCAGGTTCAAATCCAAGGAAGAATAAAAATTCTCTTGTGGTCATGAAGGTTCAAATACGGTGACTCCGAGCTATCTGTAAAGCAGATGGTCGTCCTGGGATTAATCGGCTCGCATAGCGGGTTGGATATCCAGGTTAATTAAAAAACAGCACAACAATACCCTAATACTACAAAACAAGCACATGATGTTGCATACAAGAACATAAAGTCAATCCAATAGTAAACACATATACAACCATTTTTTGAAGTATTTGATGCAATACGTTACGGGTGCCGGAAACTCACTGTGGGAGACACACTATTCCAGCGTTGCAAAGGTGGTGAGAACATCGTCAAAGGAAAATCCTATGGTCCATGCCGTTTTCATTGTTGTACTCCTTACGTGGTGTAGACCTCAAAGACGTGTGTAAAAACTGAGCTAAAAAGAGCAAAACATTCATAAAAAATGTTCGTTAAGTTTTTGTTTGTTGTTTTGGACAAATTCTAGGACCGAGTGAGATATACAAATTTTTGACTGATTTTGGTTGACATTTATCAAGAGTAGAAACTGTTATCACTGTATGCAATTTATCAGTAGTTTAATTTATTATTTATTTATGTAACAATTTTAAAATGAAAAGTTAATAATATAAATTATTATTAAACTTTGAATTTATTGTTGCCACCTCCCTCTACAAGTTTACAATTAATTTGTGCTATATTTTTACCTTGGTGACCTAACATGACGTCACTCTGGAATAACATTTTGAGGTTTTTTTTTTATTAATCTAGATATCCAACTCGTTATGCGAGCCGACTAATCCCAGAACGACTTTGCAGATAGCCCGGAGTCACCGCATTTAAATCTCCGTGGCTACAAGAGAGTTTTTATTTTTTCTTGAATTTGAACCTGAGACCTCCTGGTACTTTTGACCTTTGGAGCCAAGCTCAAACCAATCAGGCACCAACCTTGTGGTTCATTTTGAGGTTTTTTTTAATTAACCTGGATATCCAACTCGTTATACGAGCCGACTAATTCCAGAAAAATTACCTGCTTTACGGGTAGTCTGGAGTCACCGTATTTGAACCTCCGTGGCCACAAGAGAATTTTTTTTTCTCCTCAGATTTGAACATGAGACCTCTAGGCACCATTTTGTGGTTTATATTCTTGATATATTGTATTCTTTCCTGTGTGATAATATTTGAATTTCAGTAGGAAGTAAAAACATGTAAATACATTTTAGCCTTTTAAAACCGACACAAGAAGTTAATAATACTGTTTTATATGCCACCAAACATTAGATACCACCAATTTCACTTATTTTTTTTTCCAGTTGTAAATAAGCTAATCAAAAAACGAAGTTTGTTAGAATGAGTGATGTTACTGACCGTAATTGTCTTTTCATTGAAAAAAACGTCACAGAAGACTTTCATTCTCGTACGTTAAAAATAATCACCGACTTTTATCTGAAGAATCAAATTTCAACGCCGTCAATCATTTGTTCTAGAAATGACCCGCGATATAAAATAGAAGGTTGGTGTACAAGTCCAATGTAAACGATAAAGCCGACACGTGTTATCTTCGTTTTTTTTTTTTATAAACTATAAACATCGTTAAGGTATTGGGTACAACTGAAAATTACGAAAATGCCCATGTAAAGTGACAGGTGGGACTACATATATAAAGAGTATGTCGTCTACGATAAGGTTTGAATTAGCTTCAAACATTTGGTGGCATTTGTAAGAGTGTGAAAACCTCAGGGGCCCTTTTGTAATTTTTAAATATTTAAAACAAACGTGAATCTAGACACTTGCTTTTGGATTTTAAATATAAACCACCGTCATTGAAGCCCCACGAAATCTAAAAAAGATTCATCATAGTAAAAATTCTGCTTTTGACTTTTAATTTAAATAATATCGATGGGTACGTATTATATCTGTTCTTTTATTATTGTAATGTCAGATACTTTTAATCTTTCTGATTCACGGTTATTTATTTAAAATCGTTATCTACATAAGAATGAAATGGTTTCTGATTGAAGTATCTGATCAGACGTTTGTATAAAAAAGTAGAAGTCTCAACTGGGTCCAACGGATCAACATGCTTAAATTTCTATGCTCCATCAAGACTGTGTGTGACGTGATCGGTATATTCTGACTTGTTAAGAGTTTGTAACTCTATGGCATTTATTAATAGAAAATCTCAAAACTCAACTCCTACACACTATATTATCCTTGCGGGCCCTTCGACCGTTGAATTGTTCCTGACTATATTTCAGAAGAAAAAAAATTGAAAGCATAGAAAATGAGTGATGACGGTCAACAGGGAATTGAATGTTTATTGATTAGATCAATTTAATTGTAATTAGTTTAGAGTTATACCCCAGATAGAAAAGATATAATGAACGTCAAGATTTCTAACAAGAAGTAAGTATAGATTGAAAATATCTTAAAAGTTTGAAACCGTTGTTCGATTGTAAGAGGAACTGAAGCTCAATTTGTTCTGATGAAAGAGTCGGGAACGCACCCGTATTTCATTTTAAGGTTTTATGGATTTCAGATACGAAGTAACTCAAAGCTACTAGGCGAAACCAAAAAAATCGAGGATCATTAAGTGTAATACTGTATTTGCCCTTAGTTGGTATAACAAACATTCAATTCTTTTGATTTCATATCTATTTGACTGTAACCTATAGTTTTTGTAACTATTAGTGACATGGATATTAAGGGGCCGTTTATTAAACGTTTACCCGGTAAATACTTATCGGGTAATTTTTCTCATTGAATGAACATGACAAGGACTAAGAATCTTATCCGGTAAGAGCGATGATAAAGATGAAGAGTCTTACCCGGTAAGTGAGGGTGACGACTCTTACTCGGGTAAGCGCTTACCAGGTA